GACCGAATAGAATGAAAATAAAAAGGCAGGACAGAGATTACAACTAAAAAAAAAATGTAGGACAAAATTTTTCATCCTAGCCCCCCCCCCCCCCCCCCCCCCCCCCCCCCCCATAAAAATCAAATGGTAGCTCCCTTAATTCTTTCGGTCGAGTTTACTTAAATTTTTTACACTACTTTCTAGACATTTTGGTTTTCAATTCTCTACACTTCGTAATTGAATTTTAAATCGAGCGCCACTGGTGATGTATTTAGACGAAACGTGCTTCTGTCGTATTAAATTATAAGCCTAGTATCTTTGATGATATGAGTTTTAATAGCTTAAGGACAGGTACAAAATTGTATTTTTTTTCTTTAAATGGTCTCAATTTTGCTATTCGGGAAATGCTATTCAAGTAATATTTTAATTCATGAAAAAAAGTAGGAAAATGAAAATAGAAGATCATTTTGAAAGTTTTCTTAGACGCTTCAGAACGTTTTAATATTTCACAAATTTGGCTTTTTCAAAAAAAAAAAAAACCCCATTACATATGAATATCACTTAAACAAGAATATGTATTACCCAAAATTTCATTAGGGTCATAAGTGGTAAATGCTGCGAAATCAATAGAACAACAACATATACATCAATAATTGTCCAAAATGATGTAGTTCGCTTCTTACATTTAGTTTTGAAGGTTTGTGTGCTTATGCATTTAAAAGTCATTATAATTAACCGTCCATTTTTGTAACTGAAAATAACACTTTATAAATTTGGCGCGTCCGAAGCCCTATTCTGGTCTTACATTCACAGAAGCAAGTAGGTCCGCCATAAAAAATAGACCATAGTGTCTGTCCTTGAGCTGAACCTTAGTTTCTATTGAGCGCAACATCTACTGATCTTTAGGTTAGAGTGTAGTAAACTAAATATATATATCACAAGAGCATATGTCCGAGTTTTGTTGAATATTATTCATAGTATAGTCCCCAAATTTTGATCCAATGTTCCTTGTCAATATATAACATCAGATGAACAAATATTTTGTTGATATCCATTATAATAGTCTGGATGAGTAGGTCCTTCAATTTTTTATTAACTTTTTATTTAATATTTCTCTATTCTTTATTCATTTTGACCCTAACATGTATTCTCTATTTTTTATATTTTAGTTCCCCATTGTTCTCTATTCTTTAGATTTTTGTTCCTCATTATTCTCTTTTCTTTATATTTTTGTTCCCCATTATTCTCTATTCTTTAATTTTTTGTTCCCCCATTATTCTCTATTCTTTATATTTGTGTTCCCCATTATTCTCTATTCTTTAAATTTTTGTTCCCCATTATCCTCTATTCTTTATATTTGTGTTCCCCATTATTCTCTCTTCTTTTCATTTTTGTTCGCCATTTTTCTCTATTTTTTTTATTTAAGCATATTTTTCTCTATTCATTTTTTATTTTGCTCGTTAATCTCCGTTTTTTTGCACATTATTCTCAGTCTATAAATCCTATTCTAACCCTCCTTTATGAATTCTTAAATATGCTAAGGTAACAAATTTCGCTGTACTGTAAATATTAGTTTTTATTGATTGTTTTTTTATAATACCGTTTTATTCTATTTTTATTGTTAATATAGAGATAACTGAGTTCAAATGTTACAGAAGAAAATTGACAACACCGTATATGAATCCACCCTAATCTGACACATAGTATGGGTGTTATTGCTATTCGTAACTGCCTTTAGATAAGGATGAAAAAGTCGTTTTATAGCCTTGTTTACTAAGTATTAGTCTTCAAATTAGCTTTGGGTCGTATTGAATGGACAGAACTGGAGATTTTTTTATCCCACTCACGTTGTTTGTCTACAACCAGGTACGAACTTCAATGTATAGGTAAATCGGTCATTTCGTATCTGAGGGTCTGAATGGGATTTACAAAATAGAGAATAATGACAAAAATAAATAATGAAAAGAGAAAAATAAGCAAAAATGTTAAAGAAGAGAAAATAATGGGGTGTGAAAGTATAAAATAATAATAGTGGCAAATTAAGAATAAGTCATTAAAATACTGATTACAGAAATGAATGATATACAGAATAAAGAAATCATATAATTACAGAAAAGTCAACAGTAAAATCATATTCATGAAAAATTTACAGAATACGCATTGTTTTTAAAGATGATAAATGCCATAAAACTTTAAATAACATACATAAATTACTTACCCCCATCCTTATCCTCATATCTGTTATTGTACTTAATTGTACGCAGATGTTTATGATACTCCGGCGTTTTTAATAACTTTTTTATAATCGAATCTTTGAAAAATGAGTCGAGTTTTAATTCGGTCAAATAGCCTTGATTTACATTCTGATACCGATTTGACGACGTATAACATTCAATTGTTATAAATGGTTAAGGTTTGCCTAGCGTCCAGTGACAAATATTTCGTGAAAGAGTTTATTTTCTCCTTTAGATATTTATATATAATGCATATATAGGACAAGAAAATTTTAACAACACACATAAAAAGTTTGATTCTGCACAGTTGGTCACCCGGGATACATATCGGGAAATCAATACTACCACTTGCAAAGAGGGCATTTTGAAAAAAGAACAGACATTTGGCAATGCAAAATGCCATCTACGGACACCTCTAAGAGTGTTTTAACGTGCAGACAATGTATGCTGCATTGTACAAAAGGCGTTTCGACATACCATAGCTATAAGAATCCCACACAGCCACACGGTTACCTCTTTAGCATGGGTATTTATACTACCAGATAGGATTGATTATTTGTTGGTTCCTTAACGTCCAGTAGCACATATTTCATGAATGTTCAGGACGAGAACAAATAAACATTACATGAAAAAGGTAGGTCATGTAATAGGGGCCGTCCGGGGTGAAGGTCGGGAAATTTGGACTGCTCATGGAAAATTATGGTATATTGTATAGGAATAGCAATTTTATCTTGTAGCAGGTCACCTATAGACCTCAAAAGAGTTGTTGTAAGGGTCCTTAACGAACAGAGAGCGTGGCTTTCTCTCTACACTAGGCATCTGACCGGACGTGGCTGCGTATTTATACATCCCGCACAGCATAACGGACACCCAACTTTGGCAAAGGTTTCACTGCCGGTTGGAATAAGACCAAGATTGACCATATTTCTATTCCCCAATCACTCTTAGGGGTGCCGGATAGGAAAAGACCAAACTGACCATACATGTACACCAAAGTAATCATTAGGGTATATAGTACTAGTACTTTTGAATCAACAATGATTTGGTAAGGTTCATGCATACTTTTTTTAAGAATAAAAAGAATTGTTGGTTAAACGTCAATGAGACAGTGACGCAACAACACAAAAAAACAATAGACACCTAGAGGTCAATATACGGTCTGCAGCAATAAACAGTATATTCAATATGTCAATCACTCAACCACACCTATAGTCAAGAAACTTATATACAGTGAAACCTGTATAAACTGAACCTCTTCGGGACTTTAGAGTTTATTCGGTTTTGGCAGATGTTCGGTTTAATCAGGTTCACAACAGATAAAATTTGATATGACTGGACTGAAGAGCATGTTTGGTTTAGACAGGTTTTCGGTTTATGCAAGATTCGGTTTAGACAGGTTTCACGGTATAAGAAATCATTTTGGATGGGACAAATCAAAGATATGTCATCTATCATTAGCAACAAATATCTTACATGACAAAGAACACTATAATATAAATAGTGACAGCCACAGCCGAGGTTCCTGACTTGGCAACATTCAATTTTACGGTATATCTCAAAGAAGAAGAGAAACCTGTTCATTCTAAGATTTATACTCAGGGTTCTTGGTTTTTCATGAATTAGAGAATGTATTCACCAAATTATGGCCCATTCGGCTGTACATCATACATTCATATTTTCGGCAATTATTTAAAAACAGAATATATATTAACACATTTAAAAAGGTGGATGCTGTCCACATTCTTGTGTAATAATGATGAATTTTTCACCAGGGAAGAGTACTGAAGCTTATCTATCGAAAGCACCGAAAAAGTAGACAATTCGGTGCTTGAAGGATAAACTTGTACCTCGTACAAATAAGTTAAACGCACTTCTAACCAGAACTGTGTGGAGAAAAATATATTTATTACATTGTACTAAAAGATATAAGGATATGATTGCCGATAAGATATAACTGTCGACAAAAAATACACCAAAAAATACAAGAAATCTGTATCTACACATCTGAGGGTGAACGACCACTCTTTAAAATTGTGAACTGTGTGTACAACGCATTATAGCTTTGAAATGCACTTTTAAACAAAAATATAAAAACTAAAATGATAGTCCAGATTTTTCCGTCTTGCAGACAGTTTTCTTCATAGTTAAATGGTAAATTAATTAGTCATATATGCTTCCTGATTTTTATGAACCAAAAAAACGGCATTGACGTATTTCAGAAAATTCCAAGCGGTCCACGTGGTCTTGTTTACCATATAATTAGACAAATTTCGTCAACAAAATTATGCCAGGAGGTAATAGTTTACAATATCAGACCGCAAAGATAGTGAATAATCCCCGGGCAATAATACGATTATCCGTAAATATCAATAAATTTACAAATGTTTACCATAACCGAAATCTGAGACGATATGAGCAGTTTATAATTTGTAATTTCATGAAATCGCATGTAAAACTTTGAATTTTACTTTGTTCTTTATCACTGGGAGGTGTAATTTTTGTTCCAACAACTAGTATATTCTCGAAATATTTTGTAAAGAAGACAATTTTGACCAGTTACCACTCGCTGTATAAACTACAGCGATTTTTAAGCCAAGAGCTGACCACAGCTAGCTTATTCAATAATACCAGTGTTAGGGAAGATTATTGTGTTAAGGAACTTGTTATACTGAAACTCTATACTTTCAAAAGAGTAAACGATCGACTCAGAGCAAACTTTTAACTCGTTTCTGGATAGAATAGATACCATCGTCATGTAATAAAAGATTGCGCAACGACTCTGTTTGTGTCCAAAAATCAAGTAAAACATAAACAATGAGACTAATAAGATTGATAGGTTGTGTTATTTTGATGTGTATGATTGATGCAGCGCCATCTGGTAGTATAGACAGTAACAAACAAACTGGTAAGATTTATTCTGTTTTTTTTTCTATCATTCTTGAATCTTATCGTATCATTAATAGTCACAATAACATAAATCATCCTACGTAAATTTAGGGGTTTGGTAGGAGGAATGTCATCCCGAATTCCCCCGAACAATAAAGAATTCTTTCCTTGATTCCGAAAAATTAATCATTAATTCAAAGTCCCGATAAGTGTAAATACCGAATTCCCGCAAAAATAAAGGCCCAATACCGACGTCACAGAAAAGGTCCTTCAGCCCTCATCCATAACTCTTCTAAATTCTTGATATGTGGATTTTCTAAATATAAAATATCCATGCATCTTTTAAGTTGAGTTCTAGAAAACTTTATACTCTGAGTGTAAGCCCCAAAACAATACCTCGTCCTTTGCTAACTCTATGGTCCACCGAAATGGACAAATAAAGAATACATTATCTACCAAACAAGTCAATAGTAATTTAAAAGGAAAAAAAACAAACGTTTTATTATTTGGAATTAAATTTGTTTTCCCCAAAGGTTTTTCTTGAAAGTAGCTTGTCTTTATATGTATGTATATCTGTTTTCTCCTCACAATATAGCCGTACCGTTAAGAAAGCAATGTTCAAATATTGCTTCAGTGTATATTTTAAATTGCTAAGTGCTTGTAACTCAATTACTTTGATCAATTTTCACCTGACGATAAAGATTTAAGACTGAGCAGAGTGCTGCATGATAGTTAATACGACCGCAGCATTCCGAAATGGAAAGCTTTACTGTCTTCTGTATTCTGATTGACCAATCGGAAGTCTACCTTACAGAATAATGTCTTCGACAGAGAACTATATGCTAATAAAAAGATCTTGCTAAATACTTATTATTTCTACAGCTTATCTGTCAAACGCAGAATTTTCTTTGAATAGGTTAGGGGGAATGTATACAGCTACGATTCAAACAAAAAAGTAGAGATACTATTTTGACTCCGGTCCATTTCTGTCACTATTACTGTATTGTCATGGAAAGGAAAAGAGCTGGAGCAGTTCTTATTAAATAACTTACACCGGAAGAGTTTAGAATACAACGACAACGAATAAACAAGACTTTAGTTATATCTAAACAAGCTTTTGTAATCGTATTAAATCATCGCTACTGATATAAAAATAAGATGTGGAATGATTGCTAATGAGACAACTATTCGCGAGGCTCAAATGCAGTGGATATAAGCAATTAAAGGTAACCGCATGGCATTCAACACGAGAAAACCCATACCGTATAGTAATCTATAAATGGTTCAGACATGAAAAATTTGAAACAATTCAAACGAGAAAACTTAATAACGTTGCTTTCTGTCTTGTTTTCTTTTAAAATTTCTAAGACAGTGACATAACGTCGTCATTACATGTACCTAGGTGTGAAATCTTCTCATTAAAAGGAAATGTCCTTTGAAAATAGCACCATTTTAAGATAAACGAGATTCTCTCATTGTCCACGTAATACCATGAATAATGATTAAGACAGTACATGTTTAGTTCTTATAAAGCAATGATACGTATTCGATGATGCAGGCATATTAATAAGATATCTTTCTACCAAAACAAAATTCCACATTAGTGCCTCCCGGCAATAAACGTCTGGAATGTTGTCTGTCATGGTGACTTGCGAAAGTAGATAAATGATTGATGCGATCTATGTAGGTCAAAATGTCATTTCATAAAACATTTTAATTAAAAGAGTTTAGTTAAGTTCCTTGAGTTTCGTTACAGTATTCAACCAGGCAGCATTATGATTGAATGTACACGTTAACATGTATTTTTAAGAGCAAAGATCTACAGAAAAAAAAGTTAAGATATGAATATATCTATGAGATTATGAGTATACGTCAGTCAGAAAGCATCCCAATGACACACAAAAGAAACCCGGCAAAACATCTTCAGTTCAAAATACGGTCTTCAACAAATGACAATTGACCATACAAAAAGCTCTCAATCGCTTCCAATCTATATACATGTATATGAGGGTTTAGATGGGGTGTAAGGAAATGAGAATAACAGGAAAAAATAAAGAGTACAGGATAATCATGGGGAGCTAAAATATATGAACAGACAAAAATGGCCTCAAATTTAAAAATGAAGACCCCTCCCTCCCAACACAGACCCTCATTTATAGCTAAAAACGATGTGAATAAATGTAACAGAATTTTGTAAAGATCTACCATCAAATCTCAAAACATTCACAGTAAGCTATAGGTTTTTTTTTCAGATAGGAGCTAGGATGTGTTTCATGTGGGCTACTTTTAAATACTACAAACACCGAGTCATTAAAAGAAGTAATTTGAAAACATCTGTAATAAATTATTACTAGTAACTACAAAGAAATATATATCAGACTGTTCTTTTTACATAGCTTGATTGCGTAAATTTTTTAAAGCAATATTGAAATCCTGAACGAAACCCGCATGAGCAAAATATGTTCATATTTGGAATCATTTGCATTGATCACTTTGATAAAAATGTTTGACAGAAATCTTCTCATCGAGCAGATAATCATAATTTTGGAGCAATAGAAAATGAAAGGATATGGAGGAAATGTACATGGGACAAAATCGCACACAATACATAGAAAACATAGAAAATTATCAATGAACAGGGCTTTTATTCCTGTTCTTCATCTTGACAGTTGATGTAGGGTCTTCTCAGACCAAGTCCGGGTGGGTTCGAAATCACGTACCACCTTTGCCCTTGTATTGTGCAGGTTAAAAAGCTGTCTATATTCGTATCAAATAAACATGTTCTCCTCCTGGATATAGTAAAATATATCATTTTTACAATACATATCAACATTCAATTGTACACACCCTACATATACATGAGTAGTATGTGTTTTTTTATATTTGAAAGAAGTAAGAAAAAACTAGTTATATATGCTAATTATGTTAATTTTGTTGTTTATCATATCGTGTATATCCGAAGGGTATCATGTTTTCAAATATAGATGTCTTGTGATAAAAGATCATTCCGCCCTTACTAATAAAATAATTATCAGACCACAAGACACAATATTCAAACGTATTATAGTGTGTGGATTCGCATGGCGAGGGATGCATCTATAGGAGGAAATGCATATTGTCCTGTCGACTCGCCGGATTTGGTTCCTTTTGGAAGTCAAAGTAATTTTTTTAGTATTGTTTTACATGATTTTTAAATTTATTGACACATTTCCAACCGTACTTATTGATACGGTATGGGTTTTGCTCATTGTTTGAGGCCGTACGGTGACCCTATAATTGCTTATTCACATCTTTTGAACTCTGGTGGATAGTTGTCTTATTAGCAATCATACCACATCTTCTTGTTTTTAATTATAATAATGCATGTAAATTTCTGGTTCATGTAACATTTTATCTAATAGTTTCTCAGGCTCTGAGTTATGTCTTTTCATTTGATTTCAAATAACTCTAGCTGAAAGTACAGTAACCGATGTACAAAGCTTAAAGCACTTCAGTCTCTTCAGTGGTTGTCGTTTGATGCTGTATATCATATTTACTTTTCGTTCATTATTTTGTACTTAAATCAGGCCGTTAGTTTTCTCGTTTGAATTGTTCTATATTTGTCATTTCGGGGCCGTTTAATTATAGCTGACTGTGTGGTATTGGTTTTGCTCATTGTTGAAGGCAGTATATCTATGTCATTTTGTCTCTGGTGGAGAGTTGTCTCGTTCACAATCATACCGGCCCAAGACCACAATTAATGACCCCACTTTTCGTTCCTTTTAATTAGAGTGTATTTTTCTTAATTTTTTTCATTCCCTTCCTTACTCATTTCTTAGTTTTTTTTGGGGGTTGAAATGAAAGAAGAGAGGTGAAATAAACTTTTTGATGTTGTATTTTAACTGATTTTGATATGGAAAGAGTGATTAGGCCAGGTGCCAAAAGGTGATATTTAGTTTTCGGAACATCTCTTGACTTGTCCATATGGGTATGGATGTGTATTGGCTAAATTTGTAAGAGTGATTGGTTCAATCTTTCTGAATTTTGGATATATTTTTGGACTAGTACTATACATTACACACACAAAAGATTTTACAAAAATGCATGGTGCATTTGTTTTAATGAAACAAAACGTTATAAAGAACTAATAGAGGAATTTAATTGGGGTCTGTGGCCTACCACAATTTTAATATCTAGATGCTTTCTCATTTGTTTTTTATGGTGGATTGTTGCGTCATTGGATATGCCCCTTATCTCCTTTTATTCATAATTGAAAAGTTTCTTTACTTACCTCACAAGATTTTCATGTGGGACTGCTTTTACATAATCCACACTATTTTCAGGGCCAAAGATATACGAAGAGTCGTTTTTCTACAGTTTGTTCTTGAAGCTAATGTCTAATGGATCTTTAAGACAATGGATCGTAAGTATCTTTCAAATATCAAGTCACCGAGGATCTCGAAATTTTATTTTCAGCAATTTGGGCCAATAATCTATAAACACGTGTATAGTTTTTATGCAGTGGCGGATCCAGGATTTTTGAAAGGAGGGGGACATAATTCCCGAAAACTATACCATATATATAGGCAATTATTTGTTTTGCCGATTTTATGCTAAAAAAATTACCAATCAAAGGGTGCGTACGCCCTCTACGTACCCCCCTCTGAATCCGAAACAGAACTTAAGACAACAGGTTACTAGAAATTGAAAATTACACTTTAACAATTTAGTGCGTCAAAAGCATTTTTCTGGATTAATCTTCAGTAGGAACGCCCAAAGCTAGAACTATAACTGAAATATACACCGAATTCTCTGATATTTTTTAGAAAAGAAAATCTAAGTCTTTTGAATAAACAAATAAGTATAACCAAAATCAAACATTTAGTTACGTTAGAATATACATCAAGACACGTTTGATACATAAACAGAATATTAATGATTTGCAACGATTAAATAAACAAATTCATTTAATAGGATATTTCAAAATGTCCTAGAGTCAATGATTTAATCAGAAACAAAATATTTTAATATGCTTAATTGAACTGATAAAGGTATCTTGACCTTAGCAAGTGGCGCCAGAAAAAAAATTCAGGTTACTAGTATAGGTCGTTCTTTTCCTAGTTAGGATAGTTGTCATTCTGTTGGAAGGTGGACTGAGCAGGCTTTTTATTGCGTATGTTATGCTGTTGACATAATTTAGAAATTCCTTTTATTCTTTTAATGTATCTTTTCCCCCTCAAAAACTAAGATTGCATGTTGATGGATTATATTTCCTGTAAAAAAATAAAGTTTACAGACTCACACACATACACGTGTTTGAGAAGAGGGACACAGTGTGTACTGTTTACATGTACAAGTATTTACACAGCATATAATTCTATATGAAACAAAGACATGTTAAAATAATTGTTTCTTTTTCTTTCTTATTTTTTCTAGAATCAGAAATTTCTTAGGCCTTCCGGCAGCAGTTCTAGTTTATCATTTGGTATGTTTTATTAGAATGACAAATCTTGTATGTACTGATATTATAGCAATTGAATGTTAAACACAAAGAAAACATGACAAAGGAAATAAAGATGACTCAAATAGTTGGAGATGATGCCTAGGATAAAATCAAAAACCACTAATAGAAGAAAACAGAAAACACCCAAGCCAACAGAAAAAAACGAAAAACCAAACAACACAAAAATATTCAGCAAAAAGAACGTAATTAAAACAGTCGGCATTTCAATTAGTCCGAAAGGCACAGCAGTTTCTACTCCACTAGTGACACCAGTCGCTGTAACGTGACGATATATTAAAGGAGGATTTTTAGATAAACATAGAGAATACCCAAAGTCATGTCATGTACAACCTCGCCATGTATAAATGTTTAATTTTTTATATTTATTCCAGGTGCAAATGGTAGTAACAACAGACAAACAACAACCATTCAAACAGATACAACTTCACCAAGTTTGACCTTTGTGAGAGATCATGACCCTAATGTTAAAGTTCAGACAAGTACGTCTGCAGTTAAAGATCTTACAGTTGAACGGGATCATATGAATCCTACCCCGCCTTCCGGTCAGCTTGTAACAGACTCAAAAACAACAAAAAATAAAGACAAATTTACAATACCGATTGTTATCTTAACTGGTACTGAAGCCGAAAAGATAAAGGTACCAGACCATACAACTGAAAGCCTGACTGTGGTTAGAGACTATATGCAAGATGGCAGTACAAAAGTCAAACGTCACGTGTCAAGAAGAAAGAGAGCTCATCAATATCAATTGCCGATGGTTAGACTGAGTTCAAAAATTAAATACAACAATCCCTCTGACCAGGCATCTCAAACAGCACCGCTGACCGATGACGATGGACAAGATTTAGTTATTGTCCGGGATAAGTCGAATCAACCAAAAACCGTTACATTCAAATTTGTGCCATGCGGGAACGGTCAAATGTGTATTGTGTTTGCTTAAAGCTAGTACGAAGGGATTTCAAAGAAATGTCAATTTTTTTTAACTTCCGGTTTCAATGTTAAATCAAAACATCTTTTGCTTATGGCTATACCAACGTCGAGAGACCAACGTTAAATTATTCTTTACGTACGTGCAGTGTTAGGAGTTATCAGATGAACAAAGTGACAGTTACTTTTCCTTCTTTTTTGTGTATGATTTATGAATTCGTCCAGTGTATCTCTCTATATATATACGTGTATATGTTTATAAAATATTACACTATATAGCCTACTGTTGAACTCTTTTAAATTATTTGTTAATGGCTACAGTTAGTGCTGTCAATTGTACAGAACTGTTATCATTTCATATACATTGTACTTACAAAAATGTACAAACATTTAGAATTACAATGTTTTCATAAATGGTGTCCTTTTGATTAGATAATGCATAAATCTTCAAACTTACAGAATTTTTGTTTGTAACATGTCCGTGCTTTCTTTTTTATTGTTCGAGAAAAGTACCAAAAAATTGAATTGGAGCCGCCAACTCGAGTTCGCATGCAGATACTCTTATGACGATGAAAGCATGCATTGAATATTTGTATATAATTTTTATTACAAAACTGAGTCATAGGTGTATCATTGATATTGATACTGTTGTGATGTAAAAAAAAAACATCATTAACAAGGTCTCTTATTATTTATTCACACTTTTTTATTTTTATATAACAGTTTCTTTGTAGATTACCTCATTATCCATCATTTATTTCATGTTTCAGGTTTTGATGCCCAACGGTTAGTAAAATCATGGAATATAATAATTCTGTGGGCATAAACATTTGCAAATATCATTATTGATATGATGTTTTTTTTCCATAAGGGAACAAGTTGCTATGTATCTGCTTAAGTTCCTCGGCTTTAGTTCAAAAGTTCAAATGGGATCAACAACTCTATTATTAATTGCTTTTACTTTTTCAAATTATAAGAGATGTTTGCTGCAAAAAAAGGCATTTTCCTTAAATTATCTTCATATTTTCACATAGATCGAACATTGGCTTACTTAGGGAGCCCGCTTTTCCCAGCTCTCACATTGAAAATCCTTTTCTTTCAGAAATCATTAGATCATCACTTGTAGGTTGATGTATCTTAATTCATTTGAGGTCAGGACTCATAATCACCAAACTTAAATTAATAAGTTGAGGAATTATTTCGGAAGTTTAAAATATCTTTGACGTGAACGCAAAATTGTTCGTTTTTTTAAAACTAAATTGCAGTCCTGTTTCCAGGGAAATCAAGACAACTTCCCGCAAAAAGTGTTAGACAAGAAACCATATCTTAACCCTGACGTCATGAGGTTATCTTCCCTTAACTGTAATTGTACACGTAAGTGTAGCTTTTTTCATGTTTTCTATGTCATATTTGTTGTTGTATATGTGTTGTTGAAACAATAATAAAATTTTATCATCTCTATGATGTTGTTGTAGATAACATCGTGTTTGTGAATCGGTTATCAGTTTGGTCAAATGACCACAAGGGGACAATCTGGTTTACCTTTAATAGAAAAACAAAGGATATGGGGGTATCCATCCATGACACAAAATCAGTACATGCACAGAAAAAACACACACAATAAGCAAAGGAACAGCATAATGTCCATTTTTGGGACGTCTATTATTGATTTCTGGGGGAGGGGGGTTAGGGGTGGGGTGGTAAATTTTGAAAATGAACAAATTGGGCTTGTAAAAACTTAAAATTAATAACTTTGTAAGACAAGACACAAAATGATGGAGACAAATGTGTACAAAAGTACCGCTCAAAAACTGATCATGCGTAGCAGCAGATGAAAATAAATGATCAATCCGGAATAAATCCACCTGCCACACCCCATATATGAAATGTTCGTCCCCTGTTCTCTAGGCAAGATCCCCGCGATATTAGTACTACAAAATGGTTTATTTTTCGCAGAGCGTTAATTTGCAAAATCCCAATCATTTTCTCCTCGATTCTAATCTTCGACAAGATTAAATTTTCGTAATCTTTAATTAATTTTAGAACGTTATTATCAAGAATAAGTCTTTGGCAAAAATTCGACAATTTATAGTTGATTAGAACTGATTGAAAAGTGGTCTACCAAAGTCCAGATGAAAAAGTACGTTATAAAAGAGCTCGATTGAGCACATTTCAATCAATTTCCGACATTAGAAATACACTCAATCGTAACAAGAGAAGATAACAATCACACGCGCTTTTCTAGAATTTGTAAATAATTGATTACTTTTGCGTTCTTGACGTACAGTGGCAAATAGTTCATGTATATATTGAAGAGTGAACAAGTTAACAGTACATTTCATTAGATACGATATAGAGTGGGTCGACATGGTTGTAGGGCGAAAAGTTTAGACAGCCACTGGAAAAGGGTAAGACATAATTCTTTCCCACGGGTCAAATTAGTTTTAACGTCCCCATCCCATTCCGGACGGGCGTCAGTCAATGAACTGACCATGTAATTCATAAATTACAAACTTTACATGTTAGAACTGGGGTCAAATCAAAGTCAGATCTGACAATGTTATTTTGTCATATAGCTCTGTTTTAAAGTCAATCTAATGTCTTCAGAAATGACATAGCCGACAAAACAGGAACATTGTCCCTCATTCAAAATATGTATCGTCCTTAAATAAATCAAGGTGACATTCAACACTAAAAAGTCGTAGAGGAACTGACACACCATGACAAGAAAAACGATCAGTTTACTGTACAAAACACTTCATAGAAAACTAAAGACGGAGTAACATTAGTGGTCGTGTGTAATATCTTAATGTTTTTTTTTGTTGTTATTTTGAGAATTATGGTTGTTTCTGTTAAATTCGTCACCACCTTATATAGACACCTGTCTATTGCTGAAGTCTCAGTCTGTATGTTGTTCTCTAGATGTATTTTTGTTTATTTTTTGTCGTTGGGTTGCTGGCGCATTGACTTATACCCCACATCTATCATGCATATGCACAAGTAAAATTATACAAAGGCATAGAAAATGGTCTTGAAATATATCTTAATTCTTAAGAAATCTGTTTCTCATCAAATAGTAGTCAATTTGGAAATTACTAGTATTAAGAAACAAAGGTTCCAAATCTCTCAGACAAAGTTGACCTTCGATGATTTTGGTTATTCTTTTGATGCCCCTTTTGGTCATAGACCTCTTAACATTTCGGCGTATTAATACATTGCTGGCTTTCAAATGTTTATGTTCCTTATGAAGGTATATCCGGAAAAAAGGGCTTCGGACGCATGACAATTCTAAAGTGTTATTTTCATTTAATAAGGGATTCTTGTTGCAAAATAATATAGAAAAGAAAGTATGTGGCGTATTCATCCATGACTCAAAATTAGTATGTGCACAGCAAACAACACAAAAAGCAAAGGAACAACGCCTTTATTACTGTTCTTCATCTCAAAGTCACAGTGAGGCCTTCAACACGAAGCAAAAAACTCTCACCTCACTCCAATTTTCAGACGGCCCTAGCACCGGTTTGAGCGGGTTTTTTTTTTTGCAAATTGACGAACACGCCACAACACTGTGATTTGAAGAACAAAGCCATGGAGTAATATCAATGAAATAAATCTGGCAAAGAAACCAAGCATGTACTGTCTTAATTAAGCCCTACAATCACACTGAAGCGTGCAAAAGACAATACAACATTAAGACAACCACGGGGCTCATCGAGATATATGTTAGATAACTCGGCAGGAAATAACGTATGTATAGGGCAAATATTTCGGGTAGACAATGTAAGATGTAACACCACCAACTCCGACCCGGTCAAAAAGAACATACGGAAAGTAGTACATATTTTTAAAGAAAATAGTTCCCACGCATATAAAATTGTATGAAAGAATTCTTAAATTGGGGGCATATACATGTATTGCCTGTTTTTTTCAGATATGGTTTGGTGTATCCAAAGTTCCGGTAACCAGTACGGTCTGATGTGTAAAGAACGATATTTTGATCCCGCCCCATAAAAAGCCCTTCTTTTGCGCTGACGCAACGTTAATCATTATCCATCACTCAATATTGATATAGAAGAACCAACCAAAGCCAATGAAAAGAGAAGCTGCAACATTTTTATAGAACCAGGGGCGGATCCAGGATTTTTGATAAGGGTATAATTCTAGAAAACGGAGTGTATACTACCGAGCGAAAATCTTTTTTGGACGATTTTATTCTAAAATATCATAAATCGTGAGAAACATGAGTTATTTTAGAATAAACAAGGGGGGTTCGTCTTCTACAGTCCCTGGATCCGCCACTGAAAACAATACGAATCACACATATAAGGTTCTTTCCGACATATTGACCCGTCTTATTAACTGGCAAAGACGTAGGACCAATTTCACCCTGAAATTATTCACACGAGGACCGATTTCAATAAGTCTGTCAATCTTCAAATTACAAAATTTCACAGCATAGCTGTTTCATTTGCGTACTTTAAAAATTTTAGAACACCATTTAGTATTTCTAACGTATAAGCAAACAAATCTGCCAATCTGATAGTTTGTAGTGTGCTTCATGTGCGTACTTTTTTTATTTCTCAGAATACCATGCATAGCGTATTTCTAAACATATAAGCAAATAATTAATACATTTAGATGGCTCATTACTGCAATTTTTATTTTTGGCAATTTTTTTGTAATTATTGCAAAAATGAATAGGAAGGTAATTTTTAACAAACCATAATAAAATAATATTAAGTTTTGTCAAAGATTTTCAATTCAAATTATTTTATGTTGGTTAGGGATGTCTCTCAATGCAAAATTTGACCAAATCCTTAAAAATTTGCGACATTATATCAAACTGCTCCTCAACAACAATTTATTCACAGCACACAATAATATTCTGATTGTATGGATACGTGTTCTTTAATCATTTTGATTTTTTTTCTTCATATATCAAAAACAAATTCTTATTTTAGAAAATTCTCCATTATATTAAGAAACAGTCTGTACAACGCGGCACTTTGAGTCTTTGATTCATTTTTTACATTTCTTTATACTTTGATCAAACCAGAAACTTATTTTATATATTAAATATGAAATATTAAACATTAAAATATTAACGACACGCCTATCTGTGCACATATTGTATTTGAATGAATGTTTCCTTTTTTGTCTTTTACCGCGCAATTCATCAAATTAAAATGACAAAATCCATTTCAAAGCATTAACGCGTTTTAAAAGAGGGGTAGCAATAAGGAAACAGAAGTGTGTGGTAGAAAAAATATAATACTTTTAAATACCATGTACACCGTTAAGTCTTCCGTCGGGAGCCTTTTGAACTTTATATAAAAGGCGGGTTTTTCCCTACCATAGTCATTCTAGCTACTCTTGCAAGATGATGTACACGAAGCTGATGCTATGTGCGCTTGTACTTGTTATAGCTGAAGGTACAGGTAAGTTGAGTCAATTTCTATACAGATTAATAGCTAACTTTATCCTTAGATTTTGATTGAAATGCGAGTACTTCTAGGAATATATTCCATTAGCAAGATAAGGTTATAACGTTTGTGGATTTTAGTCTTCAGTGCTCTTCAACGCTTTAATTGGGTTTTCGATTGATGATGATGAGTCTTATTCATA